TATTTCCTCTTATATTATTTCCTCCCTTTTATTTTCCTTGGGAGTTTTTTGGTGATTTTTTCCTCTGGTTTCTTGAGATGGATCCTTATTAGATCATTGATTTTTAGTCTGTGTTTTTGTCTAAAGTATGTATTTAAGACTATGCAACTTCCCAAAGCATGCATCCCACAGTTTGTTTGCTGTATCCCACTTTTATATTTTATTATCATTTAAAGTATTTTGTAATTTCCACAGCGATTTATTTTTTGATGCATGGATTATTTAGAAGTATATCTTTTAAAATTCAAATATGAAGGTTTTCTAGTTATTTCTTAGTGTTTTCTTGCTTAATTGAACTGTGGTCAGAGGATATATTCTTTTGTTGTTGTTGTTGTTCTACTGAAGTACAGTTGATTTACAATGTTGTATTAGTTTCTGGTGTACAGCATAATGATTCAGTTATACATATATATATTCTTTTCATTATAGGTTACTACAAGATATTCAATGTAGTCCCCTGTGCTATACAGTAGAACCTTGTTTTTTCTCTATTTTATATGTAATTTATATCTAATCTCAAACTCCTAATTTATCCCCTCCTTTTCCCCTTTTTTAATCACAAGTTTTTTCTATGTCTGTGAATTACTTTCTGTTTTGTAAGTTCATTTGTTTCATTTTTTAGATTCCACATATAAGTTATACCATATTTTTGTCTTTCTCTGTCTGACTGACTTCACTTAGTATGATATTCTCTAGGTCCATCCATGTTGCTGCAAATGGCATTATTTCATTCTTTTTTATGGCTAAGTAGCATTCTGTTGCATATATATACACACCACAACTTCTTTATTCAATCATTTGTTGATGGACATAGCTCATTGTAGTTTTGATCAGCATTTCTCCGAAAATTAGCCATATTGAGCATCCTTTCACGTGCCTACTGGCCATCTGTATGTCTTCTTTGGAGAAATGTCTGTTTGGGTCTTCTGCCCATTTTTGACTGGGTTTTTGTTGTTGTTATCAAGTTGTATGAGCAGTTTGTATATTCTGGAAATTAAGCCCTTGTCAGTCACATAATTTGCAAATATTTTCTCCCATTCTGTAGGTTGTCCTTTCGTTTTGTTTATGGCTTTCTTTGTTGTGCAAAAGCTTATAAGTTTAATTAGGTCCCATTTGTTTATTTTTGCTTTTATTTCTATTGCCTTTGGGGACTGTTCTGGGAAAACGCTGCTACGAGTTATGTCAGAGAACGTTTTGCCCATGTTCTCTTCTAGGAGATTTATGGTGTCCTGTCTTATGTTTAAGTCTTTAAGCCATTTTGAGTTTATTTTTGTGTATAGTGTGAGGGAGTGTTTTAACTTCATTGATTTACATGCAGCTGTTCAACTTTCCCAACATTATTTGTTGAAGAGATTATCTTTCTTCCATTGTATATCCTTGTCTCCTTTGTCGAAGATTAGTTTACTGTAGATGTGTCAGTTTATTTCTGGACTCTCTATTCTGTTTCATTAATCTATGTCTGTTTTTGTGCCAATTCTATGTTGCTTTAACTACTGTAGCTTTGTAGTATTGTCTGAAGTATGGCGAGGTTACTCCTTCAGCTTTCTTTTCCCTCAGTATTGCTTTGGCAATTCTGGGTCTTCTGTGATTCCATATAAATTTTAGGATTACTTATTCTAGTTCTGTGAAAAATGTCATGGGTAATTTGGTAGGGATTGCATTAAATTTGTAGATTGCTTTGGGTAGTATGACCATTTTTAACAATTAATTCTTCCAATCCAAGAGCATGAGGTATCTTTCCATTTCTTTAACTCATCTTTAATTTCCTTTATCAATGTTTTATAGTTCTCAGTGTATGACTTTCACCTCCTTGGTCAAGTTTATTTCTAAGTTATTTTTTGATGTGATTTTTAAGAGTTTTTTTTTTTTACTTTCCTGATATTTCATTGTTCACGTGAAAAAATGCAACAAATTTCTGTCAGTTAATCTTGTATCCTTCTACCTTGCTGAATTAATTTATCAGTTCTAGTAGTTTTTGTGTGGAGTTGTTAGGGTATATATAGTAACATGTCATCTGCATATAGTGACAATTTTACCTCTTCTCTTTCTATCTGGATCCGTTTTATTTCTTTTTCTTGTCTGTCGCTGTGGTTAGGACTTGTAACACTATGTTGAACAGAAGTGGTGAGAGTGGCTTTGTGTTGTTCTAGATTTTAGTGGGAAGGCTTTCAGCTTTTCACCATTGAGTCTTATAGTGGCTGTGTATTTGTTATAAATAGCTTTTATTATGTTGAGTTATATTCCTTCTATACCCACTTTGGTAAAAGTTTTTATCATGAACGGATGTTGAATTTTATCAAATGCTTTTTCTGCATCTATTGAGATGATCATGTGATTTTTGTCTTCTCTTTTGTTGATGTAGTATATCACATTGGTTGATTTGTGTATGTTGAATCATCCTTGTGACCCTGGGATGAATCTAACTTGATCATGGTGTATAATCTTTTTTATGTGTTGTTGGATTCAGTTTGCTAATATTTTGTTGAATGTTTTTGCATGTATATTCATCAAAGGTACTGGCCTATAATTTTCCTTTTTGGTAGTGTCTTTGTCTGATTTTGGTATCAGGGTGGTGGTGGCTTCATAGAATGAATTTGGGAGTGTTCCTTCCTCTTCAGTCTTTTGGAAGAGTTTGAGAAGGATTGGTATAAGCTCTTCTTTGTATGTTTGGTAGAATTCCGCAGAAACCATCTATCCTGGACTACAGTTTGAGTTTCTTAAATTACAGATTCTATTTCACTTCTAGTGATCGGTCTGGTCAAATTATCTATTTCTTCTTTTTTTTTAATTGTAGTACAGTCAATTTACAATATTGTGTCAATTTCTGGGGCACAGCATAATGTTTCAGTCATACATATACATACATATATTCATTTTCATATTCTTTTTCATTATAGGTTAGTATAAGATATTGAATATAGTTCCCTGTGCTATGCAGAAGCTTGTTGCTTATATATAGTAGTTTTAGTATATCTATTTCTTCTTGACTCAGTTTTCGTGGACTGTATGTTTCTAGAAATTTGTCCATTTCTTCTAGGCTGTCCAATTTGTTGGCATATAATTGTTCACAGTATTCTCTTCTGGGTTTTTTGTATATCTGTGATATTGGTTGTTATTTCTCCTCTTTCATTTCTTAGTTTATTTGGGTCCTCTCTCTTTTCTTCTTGATGAGCCTGGCTAGAGGCTTATCAATTTTGTTTTCTCTTTCAAAAAACCAGCTGTTGGCTTGATTGATTCTTTTCTATTTTTTAATCTCCATTTTATTTATTTCCTCTCTGATCTTTATTATTTCCTTCCTTCTGCTAACTTTAGGTCTTGTTTGTTTATCTTTTTCTAATTCTTTAAGTTGGTAGGTTTAGGTTGTTTATTTGAGATTTTTCTTGTTTTCTTGTTTTCTATGAACTTCTCTCTTAGGACTGTTTTTGATGCATCCCATAGATTTTGTGTGGTTGTGTTTTCATTGTCTTTGTCTTAAGGTGATTTTTTTTTTGAAAAACCAAATTTACTTAAAGGACAAATGCATCACTATTTGCAAACAGATCCATGATACACAACTTGACATTGAATCTGATAGCCTGCTTAGAACATTTAAATCCACAGTGCCTGCTGGGGGCTTAGGGGGTGGCACCAGGCCCTTGGATGCATGGAGAGCTGGGCTGGCTCTAGAGGGAGACGGTTTAGGCTGAAATTTGCCTTGAATATTGGCTTTGCTCGAATACCACATGGTGGCAGCTCTTGCATTGTTAAAAATGACACACTAAAGGGAAGGTTACAGATGGGTTTGGTAAATGACTAAATCTCACTACATAAATATTCAAACTTAAATTACTGTATCAGCCATTCTAATATTTGTATAGAAATTCCCAAAGTGTGTCCCTCAAAGTTAAGTATAAACCAGGACATAAGTTTTGGAAGTCAGTCCCTTGCAGTGCTTGTAACAGGAGTGTCACTAAGACTTGAGACGCTGTGGTGGCAGGACAGGTCACTTTCCAGAATAGTTGCCTGGGGCATAGCAGCCTCATCCTCCAAGCCCCCCTTGGTGCACATCGAGGTTTGGGGGCCATATTGGGGAGGCAGGGAAGGGGCACTCCTCAATACGGGTAGAATACAGATTTGGGCTTCATGCTCCATCCTGCAGTCCCCTGGGAAGTGAGCGACTGAGGAAGGAGGAGCAGCAGCCAACACGGTGGGAGCAGGTCTGCAGGCAGCCCCCTGCACCTCTGCTGGGGTCTAGGCCGAGTTGCTGGTGGTTGAGTGCAGTGATGAGGGCTGGCATCTCCCTGCTGCAAAAGCACCAGTCCACATATATGGCATGTAGGGCAGGCTGACCTGGGGCCCTTCCAGTGACAAGTTGATAGGACAGCAGTGGGGAAGCAGATTAATGGCCCAGCCAATATGGTCCTTACTTAGAGCAGCTGACCCATGAAGGGAGAAACTTCAGTCCTTGGTCTTCGGTATTTCTGGCAGGGCTGTGAGCGGAGATGGTACAGAGGAGCTGACGTGTGGGCACAGACCTGCCCTCAGGGTCTGCTTGGGGCAGGCTGCACTGGCCAATGAGCTTCTCCTTCCTGCCCAGGGGGAAGGCACAGGCACCAGCCCTTTGGGGAGGCAGGGCTGTGAGGTCAGTTTCCTCCCCGCTCAGGGGTCAAGTGTGGTTTAAGTCACAGCTTCAGCAGACCTCATTTAACCAGTTTTTATTATCTTAAAAAAAAAAAAACACAGAACTACATCCTAAATGACAAAAAATAAGCTGTTTTCTCCACAATATTACTTAGGAAGATTAAGAGCTGGCAGTCCCATCATCCTGAAGGTCCAAAGTGTCACAGGCAAGAGGGGTTTTCTGGCTGAGAGATGAAGGGTGGGCCCCTGCACGGGGTGGGCGAGGTTGTTGAGGGGTGTGACTCTCGGGGCATTGGGATTTCACAGTGATACAATCCTCAGAAGAACAGGTCCAAGAGTAAAAGATGAGATCAAGACAAACCACAGCCTGCTCTCGCTGGCCGAGGTGGATGCCAGAGCTCTGTCTGTGGGATGCAGGGAGGTGGGCGGACAAGCCCCAGGGGCTGGGCTGGGAGGTAGTCAGGCTAATGGGGCAGGGCTGGGGTGGGTGTGTTCCACAGTGCAGTTTCCACACCGACCAGAACTAGCCAAGATTGATGCTTCAACAGGTTAACTCAGCAATTCAGTGTATTGAGGAAGATCTGGACACCCAGATCACCACTGAGATGCTAGTGAAGTGGCTACAACAGTCTGCAGAAGGCCAGGTGATGCCAAGAAGGAAAAAGATGCTTCAAAGTCAGGATTCACCACCGTGCATCGCAAATCAAATTCCTGGTGCCAGACCAGTCTCAGGCACAGGAAGAAAAGAAACAGTAACATACCCCACATTTAGTTCTGGGAGAATGCAGGAAGATTCTCAGAGATACTGTGGTGGAGTGGTGTGCTTTGGAATGAAAGCAGAATCCCCCTAGCAAGCAAGGGTGGGAAGGAGGAGCAGCACCAGCCAGGAAGGCCAGCGCACCCTCACCGCAGGGCCTGGAGTCACCCTGGGCCCACATGCGTGCCGCAGCGCCGGGGTGCCGGGGCACCAGGGTGCAGGGGCAGGTGGGCCAGGCTATAACTGCTGCGTGAGGCATCAGTAATGAGGCAACACTGGCTCTTGGGAAGGTACAGAGCAAGTTCCAAGGCCACGAGCACAGTGAACTCAAACCTGATGAGGTCCCGTCTGTTGAATTGAAACCTCTCTTCTAACTTGCTGATGAGCTGCTTCACGTCGTTCCTGCACAGGTTACTGCTGATCTTGGCGGCCAGCAGCATGCAGGTGCCCGCACACAGCTTGTGGGTCTGCTTGTTGAGCTTGCCCTGTACGACCAGCTTCTCACAGTACATGTAGGCCATGGACACCATCACGGGCTCCAGGCCGCACTCCTCAAACAGGTTTCGCACCTCTTGTTTTAAACTCCTGATTTTGCTCAGCGTCAGCCTGATGTGCGGGAACTTCTCCTGGAAGGTCTCGTTCATGTTCTTCTTAAGTTCGGAGGGCTTCACATACTCTATCACCATGGTCATGTAGGACGCGAAAATGAGGACGCGCTTGTGCTTGCCGCAGGGCCACTGTGTCTCAAGGTATTTTTTAATTTCCTCTTTGATTTCATCATTGACCTATTGGTTTCTTAGTTGTTGTTTAGTCTCTGTGCAATCTTTTTTTCTTGTTTCTCTTTCTGTGGTTGATTTCTAGTTGCATACCACTGTGGTCGGAAGAGATGCTTGAAATAATTTCTATCAGAGGACCTACTTTTGAATAGTTCTATTATTGGAAATTTGTTGAGACTTGCTTTATGACCCAGTATATGGTCTGTAGCAGAAAGAACAAAGATGGACAGAATACCCCAATGCCATATATTCTTTTGCTATGTGACTTTGCCACTGATCCATCAAGTGGTAAGTCTATGTTTTCATCCCCTTTCATCTAGGAAGGCCCTGTAACTAACAAAGATAAAACAGCTGGCCTTCCCACTTCCTGGAAGATAGCCATCATGTAAAGAGTGAGACCACACTATCCTGAGACCATCATGCTGTGAAAGACTCAAGTCATATGGAAAGACTCTGGAGGATGAGATATACTGAGAAGAGAAAGAGAGGCCAAGGAGCACCAAAATGCCAAGACATGTGACTAAAGGAGCCATCCTGGATATCTAGTCAAGACTTCCGATGACTCGTTCCAGCTGTTACTGACTGCAGTCACATAGGAGACCCCACGTGAAAACCACCTATCTGAGCCCAGTCAACTCACAGAACCTTAAAAGATAATGATAAATTGCTATTTTAAGCTCTATATTTAATGATAATTTGTAATGTAGCAATAGTTATTGAGAACACGGTCAATATGCTTAAATGTCCCGTGCCTATTTAAAAGGAATTAACAACTGTAACTTGAGGGTGCAATGTTTTATATGTGTCAATTAAGCCAAGTTCATTAGTTTGTATATTCAAACCTATATTCTTAATAATTTGGTTTGCTGTCTATAACTTACAGAAGTATTTTGAAAATTTCTCAATATGATCCTGTATTTGTTCATTTCTCTTGTAAATTTTTGCTTTATTTGAGGCTAAGTTGTTAGGTGAGAACAAATTTAAAGTTTATATCTCCCTGATGAACACAATCTTTTATCATAGCTAGGTATTCCTTATTTCTAGTAATGTTTTGCCTTAAAGTTTACTTTGTCTGATATTAATAAAGCTACACCAGTTTCCTTTTGGTTAGTGTTTTCATGGTATATCATTTTTTTACTTGTTTACTTTCAATATTTCAAGGTTCTTATATTGTATATTTATATACATATCTATAATATGTGTATAAAAGTACATATATTTTTGAACATTTCAACATCTTTGTATATTAAATGTCTTTATAAATAGCATATAATTATTTTTTCTTTTTTCTGCTTTTCATTCAGCACAAAGCATGACATACAGCATGCATTCAGTATTTCTTGAATGAATGAATAAATTCTGTATTGGAGAAACAGTGGCACTTAATTTAAGTTCAATTTTTTAGGCTTGCCTTATGACAAACAAGAAGGGAAGAATTTACAAAGTAACATGTGTGATCTAAGTCCGGATCCATAGACTTTTCCAGTGTGTACAAAATGGATAACATTTATTGAGCATATATTATGTGTCAAGTATATGCATATATACTGCACATATACAAACTCATCCAATTCTCACCTAATTTCATGAAAGATAAAGCAAAGGCAAAGAGAGGTTAAAAAACTTGTCAAATATTAAGTAATAAGTGGTCTGAACTTATTACTGACCAGAACTTACATTTGGGAAACCTGACTCCAGTTTTTAGCCACTCTGGAGAGCTGTCCTATCTACCTACTCTGTGGCTGACTTCACAAGTGTGGTCAGTAATCTGACTCTGGGCTGTACACCAGATTTCTTATGAGGCCATTGATCAAAATGTAGGGGTAAGAAGGTACCCTGTTCCATCCCCAAAGGGCTCTATAAATGTGCTTATATAACCTGATTTTTTTATTCTCTCATTAAAGAGAAGGATATTTTTGGCCCAAATAAAATTTATTTTGTCACTTATATATTCCATAAATGTTTAGCTACTATGTAAAGTATTTCAAAGGCACAGACTTGTTGACAGTTGCAGAAAATGGAATTTGGAACCGTTCAAAGACGAGAAAGAAAATAAGGCTGCTTAGATGGGACTATTATAAAGGACTCCATTTTGAGTCCTTTTTGAGTCCATTTTGAGTCCATTTGGGACTCAAATTTGAACTCCATTAAATCTAAACTTTTTAAAATTAAAATCTAATGTACAAACCCTTGTGTCAAGGGCTGCTGGCCTTTCAACAGATCGCAGTGAGGGAGCTGCTTTGCTATGTAGGAAACCCTGACCAAGAAGCAGGTCTATGAATGGTTTACTACCAGGTTCCCCACAAACATGCAGTTGTATGATGTGCAAAGAGGTGGCCACTTTTCTGGCTGGCCCCACATCCCAGGACAAAGGGCTCTCCACACTGAACCCTGGTCCCACATACAACATACAATTATTTTTAAAATCCAAACTTCCAATACTGATCTTTTAATCAAAGTAATTAGTCCATTTACCTGAAAGGTAATTTTTGATATATTTAGGGTAAAATAATTAACATTTCTACCATCTATCTTCCCCTAAAAAGGGAAAATTTTTTCCCTAGGGAAAAAATGAGATGTATTACATTGATGCTGTTTCTGTCAATCAAGCTTTTTCAAAGTTGTTGTTCAACTATGTAATTGTCTTTGATATTTTTTTTTAAACCTTCAGTTATTCATGGACTCTTATATCTTTCAACCCTTGAGGGGAAAAAATGGAGCTGCCTTGAACTCTTTGTGTCTTATAGGAGATAATAAAGAGCTGCCTACATTTATGTAATTCCTAATTAGGGTTCCTCAGTAACCCTAATTTGAGTTTAGAAAGTACTAATTTGATGATTATTCATCGTCTACTTTGTAACAGGAACCAGAGTATGCTAGTAATAACTGTGATGAAACTATATATAGCTCTTTACCTGAGTTCTTACTAAATGCCAGGTGTTGTCCTAAGCACTTTACATGTATTACCTCCTTAATCCTCACAATTTCCCTATAATTTTGACATTATGATTCCCATTTACCACAGACAGGTTAAGTAACTGGTTCGAGATCACACCGCTAGATACGTGCCATAGCTGGAATTTAAACCAAGACAGTCTTACTCTGTGCTCTTAGCCACTCTTTTTTATTGAGATGTGATGTCCTCTCCAGTGATGAGGGTGAGTGCAAGTGTCATTCTGAGCATGTTAGCTTTGACATAATGAAGAATGCACAGTAAATAGAAAACAAACAGGTATTCCAGGAAAGATCTGCATATTTTAATAAAAGTATTAATAGTTTCAAGTGGATTCTCCTGGTATACAGTAGTAACAGGATGACAGATATGCCACTGGGCCAGCAGGCCTTTCATTTGAGTACTTCAGGGAACCATTCATGCTAAATAGTATTTCTGGGAATAATTTGTACTGTGTAAAATTTTATATACTCATTGCTCTGGAAGGTCCCTTAGAGATCAGCTATTCCAGGCCAGTCATTTAGAGTATTTTTTTTCCTTTTTTTTTTTTTTAATTGAAGTTTAGTCAGTTACAATGTGTCAATTTCTGGTGTACAGCATAATGTGTCCATTGTGCTTATATATACATACATTCATTTTCATATTCTTTTTCATTAAAGGGTATTACAAGATATTGAGTATGCTTCTATGTGCTATACAGAAGAAGTTTATTTTTTATCTATTTTTATATATAGTGGTTAACTTTTACAAATCTCAAACTCTCAAATATATCCCTTTGCACTTCCTCTCCCCCGGTTACCATAAAATTGTTTACTAAGTCTGAGAGTTTGTTTCTGTTCTGTAGTGAGTTCATTAGTGCGCTCTTCTTCCTTTCTTTCTTTCTCTTTCTTTTCTTTCTTTCTTTTCCTTTTTTTTTTTTAAGATTTCACACATGAGTAATATCATATGGTATTTTTCTTTCTCTTTCTGGCTTACTTCACTTCACTCATTTATAGTACTAACAGTTATTCTCTTTGGAGGTGGCATTCTAAGGGCCTTTTACTTTTTATATTATTTATTAATATGCCATTTAAGTTTTTATAAGAACACATCACATATAATCAGAAAAATAAAATGGTTATTCCTACTAAGACAATTAAATGGGAGAAAGAATAGTCTTTTCAACACGGTACTAGAACAACTGAATATCCACATGCAAAAGAATGAATTTGTACTCCTACCTCACACCATATTAAAAAATTAACTTGAAATGAATCACAGATCTAAATGTAAGAATTAGAACTATAAAAGTCTCAGAAGAAAATATAGGACTAAATCTTCATGATCTTGGCTTAAGCAAAGACTTCTTAGATACAAAACCAAAAGTATAACCAACAAAATAAAAATAGAAAAACTGAATTTCACCAAAATTAAAAACTTTTGGGCTGCAAACACTGCCATCAACAAAGTGAAAGACAACCCCATGTAGTGGAAGAAAATAATTATACACTGCATATATGATAAAGGATTTGCATCCAGAATATATAAACATCTCTTACAACTCAATAATAAAAAGACAACCCAAATTTTAAATGGGCCAAGGACTTGAATAGCTATTGGTTCACAAACTTGGGAGCTTCCTGGGTGAAATTTGTACCTGGTCCCCGTACATGGAGGTAAGGAGAGACCAAAGGAAAAAGCAGACCATTCCAGATTAGATGGTGGCAGGTTCAGTAAGCAAAGGAACTTACACGTGAGGCTTGTCTTGGGTGGCCACAACATGAGCAGATCTCCACACCTACCCACCGGAATCTTACAAGTTTATAAAGAGGCCTTATCTGACTGAGTTCAGTCACATATACTGCCCAGACAGACTCAACAACACATTACTCTCTCAAGGTTGCATCCCTGAAAATGGTTCCCACTGTGGGAACAGTGGATAGAGTGCACATTCCAAAGATAGAGAATGGGGTGAGAAGCCTCTGATTACCCAGGGCCTACTCATGGGTCAACCAGGTGGTCACATCTTCACAATGACCAACTATGTCCCCCAACAATAGACATTTCTCCAAAGAAGATACTTAAAAACTTGCCAACAAGCATGTGAAAAAATTTTCAACATCATTAGCCATAAAGGAAATGTAAATCAAAACCATGAGATACCACTTCACAACCACAAGGATGACTATTTTCAAAAAGACAGATAATAACAAGTGTTGGTGAGGATGTGGAGAAACTGGAACCTTCATACATTGCTGATGGATATGTAAAACGATACAGCTACTTTGGAAAACAGTTTGGCAGTTCCTCAAAATGTTAAACATAGTTTCCATGTGATCTAGCAATTCCACTCTTAGATATATACCCAAGAGAAATGAAAGCATACATCCACACAAAAACTTGTAGATGAAATGTTCACAGCAGCATTATTCCTAACAGCCCCAAAATGGAAATAACTCAAGTGTCCATCAATTGATGAAGAGATGAATAAAATATAGTATGTTCATACAATAGAATACTACTTGGCAGTAAAAAGGAATGAAGTACTGATACACGTTATAATACAGATGAACTCTACATTATGCTAAGTGAAAGATGCCTGTCACAAAAGAGCATGTGTTATGATTCCATTTATATAAAATGTCCAGAATGGGTAAATCTGTAGAGACATAAAGTAGATTAGTGGTTGCCTATGGCTGGGGGTATGGGTGTGGGAGAGGGGCATAGGCATTGACTCCTAATGGGTAAGGAGTTTCTTTCTGAGATGATGAAAATATTCTAAGTCAGATTGTGGTGATGGTTGCACAACTCTGTCACTATGCTAAAAACAATTAAATTGTACCCATTAAGTGTGTGACTTGTATAAACAACATTATACTGTATAGCACAGGGAAATATATACAGGATCTTATGGCAGCTCACAGTGAAAAAGAATGCGACACTGAATATATGTATGTTCATGTATGACTGAAAAATTGTGCTCTAAACTGGAAATTGACACAACATTGCAAATGGACTATAACTCAATTTAAAAAAAATAACAAAAAAATGTGTGACTTGTATAGTATGTGATTATATCTTAATAAAGCTGTTAAAAAGAAAAAAATGGCTATTCCATTAAATTGATGCCATTTGATTCAAGGTGCCATTTTATTCATTTATTATTAAACATTGAGGTTATTTTCAATTTTCACACTGCTGAGTAATAAAGTAACTAAACACTCCATTTGAAAGAACTAATTTTTACGAAAGCTGCTATAAATCAAATAGACATACGATGTCACTAAGGTCACCTTTATAACTTCAAGATTAACACTTCACAGATATAAAGAACTAGTTATCTCCGACATGATTCTCTCCCATAAAACAAGGTCAGTAGTCTGTCCTTAAGCCTCATTTATGGTTAGTTTGGCAGTAAGAGACAGAAAAATACAGTGCCTACACAAAGAAGTGTATTTCTCTGTCACACAAAAGTCTAGAGGTAGGGAAATCAGGACTGCAATGGCAGATCTCCACAATGTCCTCAGGACCCCAGGCTCCTTTTAGGCTTACTGCTTTGCCAATCATAGGGTATACTTTTATGGTTCAAACAGTAGCCATCACATCTCTGTTCCAAGCAACAGGATGAAAAAAGCAGAAAAAATGGAGGTGGAAGGAAAGGGCAACAAAGGGGATGTGCCAGATGTCTTTAAGAAAAGTTCCCAGATGCCATTTCTACTGTGTATCAACTGACCAAAACATTGTTACATAGCTATACTTAATTTCAAATGAGACTGAGAATATAGTCTTTATTCTAGGTAGTATATGCCCAGATAGAAATGAGAGGTTCTGTCATCATAGAAGAAAAGGAAATAGACATTCAGAAATAAGTAGCAGACTCTGTCAATAACTCATAATTTATCTAATGACATAAAACCCTACAAAAAGCTAGAAAGAAAAATAATCTGATCACAAAGGATGAAATAAATAAGATGAACTAAGAATACACATAAATAAAAAGTATGAGGAATGACTATGCCTAATAGTGAAAAGCATCAGAGCAGACACATCTGCAAAAAAGTAGAGAACCGAAAGTTTTAATGTGGGGGATAATTTTTTATAAAATGGGAACCAGAGGCTGTATCTATCAGATACACAAAGGCAAATAAAAAGAAACATTTTAAATGTGTAATAAAAAAATCATACTGCTTTTCACTTCCTATTAGGACAACAGATTCTTAACAAAACATCTTTGCCTATTTTATTTGAACTGTTCAGATGCTTCTCATTCCTGGAAGGCTTATATTATTTACTGATTTTATTGCATCCGGTTCTATTTCAAGGATAATATATTGCATCTGACCTTTATACAATCACTTTTGTTTGGGAATCACTTTTGTTGTAGTTTTTGATTTACTATGTTAATATATACATAGTACACATGTTATAAAAATACTTGAACACTTTCAAGAAATCCCAATATACATAACTTAGTGCAAATTTACTTAATTCTTTTAATAATTAATTTAAGATACAAAGACAGGCTTGGTTTTTATTTAAGAAACATAATCAACTGAATGTGACTAAGAAATAGTATCCGGGAGAGATAATATTTAATATGTTTCAGGAAAAGATAGTTAATATTTAGGTGTTTTTTTAAATTTACAAGTTCAAAAGAGTTTAACCACAAATATGAAGCTATATAAGCAAAAGTTACCATATGGGAAAAACAGAACTTTCTCAGCTAATGCTGAGATTAGTGTTAAACTTTTGTATTATGAAATTTGAGTCCTAAGAGAAAGGCCAAGACCCATATACATCCAAATGATCCAAACACTAAAAAAGGTACATTTTCTTTAGAAAATTCTACAACTGGTATGCACTTCGTAGGAGAAAGTACAGTTTTAACAAAATGATAGCGTCACAGATAATATGCCATTTATAAACCTCAAAAATGTAACAAACTCACCAGATTCTATACAGCATGACTGTATGAATAAAGATAAGAAGCTGCCTACTTGAAATCACTGAATCTCAGTACTATTTCAGCTTATTTAAAAAGCCAGTCATTTTCATTTTCAAAGTTCCTGGGCCCCCTTTGTAGATCTGCTATTATATCTGACAAAGGTTACCTAGAGCATATACCATGCGGGAGAATAGGGAAGCACTGACCTGGATAATCAAGAGGGTTGTGTTCCAGTCCTGGTCTAGCCCCTCATTAGTCACTGTAGGCAAGACACGTTCTCAAGGCCTTCATTTCCTCATTTAAAACAAACAGGTTGGACTCACTCTTCCCTAAGATCCTTTCTAGCATTGTTGATTCTAAGGCGCCTTGTGGGTTCATTTCAGATGACATAACACTTGTTCACATTAAATCACTTCTGATACATTTATTATCAGAAACTATCCACATAAGAAATTTGAATTATTAAAATGTTTTGCTTTTACTTTCTTACATATTTTTCAAGTCAGAAACAGTAATTCAAAACTCAATGATCACATTCTAATTTTTTAATCAAAATACGATTACCAGAATCATAAAACTTAGCATTCACAGCATTAAACCTAGGAATATATATATATAATTAATAGAATATTAAAGCCAAAAGAACATCTGACAAAGAGAGAAAGAGACTGAAACTTCTTATGAAGTATGCTTCAATGACAATTACTCCATAAGAACTGTACACTCAGAATTTGTGAACATAACATTACAAGCTGGGGAAAAGTCCAGCCTGTCAAAATACAGAGCCAAAATAATTTTTAATTTCCCAAAGATACATTTTGAGGAAGAAAGAGAAAAATTCTTCCCCATTTTCTCATCCCCCTGTCCCAATGTACATCTTTGTAATATTTTACAGAAAAAAAATGCCTAGATAGAAAGAAGGACAATATTTAACTTAATATTTCCTCTTCAATTTGTTTTTTATAGCAGACATGTTAATTTCATTTTGAACATGGTATGCTAAATAACCTGAGCTTCCAGGAATGAAGTCATGTAGCTCCCCAAGAAATTTCTTCATGGCATCAATTGATATATAACCTATAGAATAAAAAATATATATATTTGAAATTCTGTCATATTATCTGCCCTCAGTGTCTTTGATGCATTAGAGTTAAGATTTCTAAAGAATGTTTTTAGAAAAGAAGTGTAAAGAAGAAATACCAGTGAGAAGATTCTCCATGAAACTTGGTAATTATCAGAAATACCCTCCTCCCTGCTTCACCACTCCCCCAGCCTTCTACCTCCTCTTAAAACACAGATACTTGATTAGCCACTTTGACTACAGAAAGTGTGATATACAGGATGGAGATGGAACATAAAAGTACCTGGACCAAAATAACTGGGAAGTGTATCTGGCTTAGAATGTAATCACTTAGACCTACCTATTCAACTAGCTACTAACCTCACAAACAACCTCTTCATCTTCACTAGTAGAGCAGGCAACACTTTCCTTCACTGCTGTAACACTGAGATAAGTCTTTAATAAAAAATTAGCTCATACAATTTTATAAGAAAAAAGCAAACAACCCAATCCAAAAATGGGCAGAGGACCTAAACAAGCAATTCTCCAGTGAAGACATACAACTGGCCACTGGCCAATAGGCACATGAAAAAAATGCTCAATGTCGCTAATTATAATAGAAGCGCAAATCAAAACTACAATGAGTATCACTTCACACCAGTCAGAATGGCTCTCATTCAAAAGTCCATAAATGGTAAATGCTGGAGAGGCTGTGGAGAAAAGGGAACCCTCTTACACTGTTGGTGGGAACATAGTTTGGTGCAGCCATTATGGAAAACAGTATGGAGATTCCTCAAAAGACTTAAAATAGACTTACCATATGACCCAGGAATCCCGCTCCTGGACATATATCCAGAGGGAACCTTAATTCAAAAAGATGCATGCACCCCAATGTTCATAGCAGCACTATTTACAACAGCCAAGACATGGAAACAACCTAAATGTCCATCAACAGATAACTAAATAAAGAAGTTGTGGTATATTTATGCAGTGGAATACTAAATAATAAAATAATGCCATTTGCAGCAACATGGATGGCCATGGAGAATGTGATTCCAAGTGAAGTAAGCCAGAAAAAGAAAAATACCATATGATATCACTTATACATGGAACCCCCCCCCCAAAAAAAGACAAATCTATTTACAAAACAGAAATAGACTCACAGACATAAAAAATAAGCTTATGGCTACCAGTGGAGGGGGGAGGGATAAATTGGGAGTTCGGTATTTGCAGATACTAACTAATACGTATAAAATAGATAAAGAACAAGTTTATATTGTATAACAAAGGGAACTATAGTCAATATCTCATAGTAACTTACAGTGAAAAAGAATATGAAAATGAATATATGTATGTTCCTGTATGACTGAAGCATTGTACTGTACATGAGAAACTGACACAGCATTGTAAACTGACCATACTTCAATAAAAATATATTAAGATGAGAAACAAAAGAAATAAAGGGGGGATATACTATGTTAATGGCTTGTAAAGTTCAATATTGTTAATATAAAAATTAATGGGAAAATACATGTCACTGCTAGTCAACAGAGATTATGATGTAATTCTGACATCATTAATAATCTGAAATAGATATGACTGTCAAAAAGAAAGCCTAGAATGGGGAGAGCTTAAGGACTTAATGACTTTAAGCAACACTAACTTATTGTTGCTTATCTGAGTGATAATATTTTAAGTGTAATATAAGTGCTTGTGGTTTATACTAAAATTGAAACCTAATTTAAAAGTAAATATCATATGAAAAAATTCTGATAGAGCTCAAGGATGATTGAATTTAGAACACCAACATCAACGAATATCTATGCATATAGTTTGATCATTTATAATAACAGAAATAAATTCACAATTAACAAATTAACAATGAAGCCAATCATATAAAATCGATCAGTATCTTTAAAGATATTTTAATCATAGCCATTTACTTCAGAAAATCTTTTAAAGCACTATTACTATACCCCATATGGTTCATGGTCTTTGCCTATGGCTAGATTTCTGCATAAAATAAACTAGTGCATAAAAATATTAGTGTCTAATTAATTGCACACAAACACTGTGTAAAGTTTCTAAAGATACGTGTGAGGATAGAAATTTTTAAGTAAGTACTATATTAACAAAAATATTTCTGTAAGTTATAAAAGGACATTTATGTATCAGAAATGGATTACTGTAGCAGTTTTGAAGTACTTAGGACTTTAGGCTGAAGTTGACAGACACCCAATTTAAACTAGTTTAAACAAAAGGGGAGTTTACTGGAAGGACATTGCCCTACCAACCTCACAACCAAACTGTGAAAAAGGCAGACATATTGCTGGACCTCAGAAATAACTAGAACCAACTCTCATGGTCATCTCATTGGTCTCCAGCTTTTTCTTTGCATGTTAGTTTTATATTCCTTTCTTGAGACAAGTTGGCTTTCCTTACATGGTAGAAAACATGGCAGCTGATAGCTCTCAAGTTTTACATTTTAGAACTATGATCACTTGAATAAGAATGACGTGACTTGCTGCATTCCATGTCTAGAAATCCAGAGAAAGATCTGAGATTGGCCAGCTCAAATCAGGTATTCACTCCTAAAGCAACTGTTAGGGGTAGGAGCTAGCTCATATTTTAGAAAATGACTGTTCCTATATAATCCAAATGAATTGGGAGGAAGAAAAGAGAATCCCTAGGAAAGGCCTTCTTGGTGGACAACTCCATACCAGTCTGTGGTAGCCAGCCTTCCAGATGGCTCTGAATGATCCCTGTCTGCTAGTATTCATGAATTTGTACAGTCTCCTCCCACTTTGTACTTGGGTTGGTCTATATGACCAACAGCCCTTGACAGAAGTAATAGTATGTCACTTCTGAGAATAGGACATAAAAAAGACAGTGGCTTCTGTCTTGGGCACACTCTTTCTCCCACTTGCATTACTCACTCTGAGTAAAGCAAACACCATGTTGTGAACAGCCCTTACAGAGAAATCCACTTGGTGAGGAGTCTAAGTCTTTGGCCAAAAACCAGCAAGAACCCAAGGCCTGTCAACAACCATATGCATGAGCTTTGAAATGCATTCTCCAGTCCCAGTTATCCCTTGAAATAACTGCAGCCTGGCTGACAACTTTACTGCAACTTTATTAGAGATTTTGAGACAGGAGTATCCAACTAAGATGCTCCTGGATTCCTGGCTCTCAGAAACTATGAAATAAGAAGTGTTCATGGTTTTAACCTAAGTTTTGGGGTAATTTGTTACACAGAAATAGATAATTAATACAGTATCTATTACAACTTTCCAAACTTTAAATTATCAGAACTTTTTGGTTTGAAGACTTTTGCCTGCAAGATATTTATAATTACTAGTAATTTTTCCCCTTTTATTAACCACACATGTAGCAGTTAATCATAACTTCTTAAGATGGGCGATAACCATTGTTATCAGACTGAGGATTTAATTCTAGTCAAAAGCAAAAAATAAACAAACAAAAACCACACCCACACACACAAATTTCTTGATATTTTATGGGACATTGGCAATATCTGGAGATATTTTTGGTTGTCACAAATTAGGGGGTCATGGGGAGGAAGAGGAAGCAGAGGCTCTGGAAGGGATGCTACTAGCATCTAGTGGGTACTGGTCAGGGTTGCCCTCTCCAACAAAAAATTATCTGGCCTAAAATGCCAATAGTTCCAGGACTGAGAAACCCTGTTCTAGGGTATAGCTCCAACTTGTATTTTCTAAAGTCTAATTAGTTCTATTTTAAGAGATTTAACATTCATTGAGTTGAACCTAACCTATTTGAGGAAGAGACAGCCAAGTTATAGCCACAAAAATTGATTCCATTGCCTAAATGTAGAACTCTCATTCTCTACATTTTCAATTAACAGAAGTTGATTTTCCCAACAAGTTCTTTTTTCCTGTACAAGCAGTTGAGCATGAAAAAAAAGAAGTTCTGTCAAGTCACATCAAGATTAAAGACAAATGACTTGTGTCTTAAAAAATAAAGCTTTCTTCCAAGAAAGCGCTATTTTAAAATTTAATGTACAAATATAAAGAAAGAAAATAACTATTCAACTGAGCAAATAAAAACGTCAGAAAATTTTACTTTAGTTCTATCAATAAAATCAACAACAGATTACCAAAGGTCAAAATTATACTTTAAAGATTCTGACTAATAATCCTCAAATAATGTGGGGATTAAGAGTGCCAACTGTCCCCACAGTTGAAAATCTGCTTATAATGTATAGCTGGTCCTGGGGATTCAAGGTTTCTCCTTACCTATGGTTCTATATCCACAAATTCAACCAACCACAGATTATGTAGCACTATCGTATTTATTACTGAAAAAAAAATCCTCATGTAAGCAGACTCCCACAGTTCAAACCCATGTTGTTCAAAGGTCAACTGTACTACTTAGTTCATTGTCCTCTGCAGTCCACTATTGCTCCTAAGAATCCCAGAACTGACTTTTCTACTATCGTAGTTAGGTAGCAGTTTTCTTTGATGTCTCCAAGACTCAGCCCAAAACTACACATTAAAAGTTCTTTTTAAAGTGCTTTTCTAACACATATTTTATATTACTCAAATGATTAGAAGAAAAAAATGGCTAGACAAATTGATTAGACAGAATAGTAACATGAGAGAAGACATTTAGGAATTTGTAGGCTAGTTGCAAGAGATAGTTTTGACACTGCTAAATACAGGAAAATGATAAATATACAAATGATTTTTTAAATAAAATGTCAAAAACCTATACTTTTTAAACTGTAGTGTTTTAGAAACAATTTTTAACTCTATTTTTTAAGTTATAATGACCCTACTGAATACTACCCAGCTCAAATTATCCAAATATAACTTTCTCACCTTACCTCACTTAGCACTATCCAAATCCATGTGGTCACATTTCAGCTAGTTCTCTTGTTTGCACCCTCTCAATGTCAGCTTCAGTTAGCTATCTTCTCTTTACTTTGGGCACTAGGAAACCCAAATACATATACAGGTCATATCTGCAGATTGATCTATTTAATGTGCGAATGATGTCTCCTATTGGCATGTATAATAAAAGGGGGCTCTTCTTGCTAGGCTAGTGCAACAGCTTTACTGTACAAAATATTCCCTTGTTTCTTCCCTACTTAGGTTGACTCTAAATTTTATTTTAAAGTACCTGTTACCATGTTGTTCACTGGATAATTCTGAAGAGGGAAGTACATCTGTTTTTCTGCAACTGGAGTCCGTATAAAACACTTTTCTGTCCTATAAAATAAAACATATAGAAAGTCATATTCATATTTGCTTTTTTGGACTTGTTTTACAAATGAGAAATTATTCCAGACAATATACACAGTAATCTAAATGCTCTTTCATCAGACTTCAGTCTTACTGTGTGGAAATGTTAACTATGAACCTCTTTAGTGCTTCTAAGTAATATAAGGGCCCATACAGATATTTTTGGTTTTCTTGGCTGCATCATAAACAAGTATTTACTGAGTAAACAGAGGCCTGGGTTTTTCCCTAAATATTCTTGAAAGCATAGTAATTTACTAACACTTTATAATTAGATCAAATATATATATACATATATATATATATATATACACACATACACACACACACATATAATCTTAAATATGCTTAAAAAAAGCAAAAAGAAAAGGCCCTATTTTAAATAATCACAGAATTTACTGTTATTTGGTGTTCAAATAATTGAAACGCTATTATCTAGTACTTACATACTTTAAAATACATTAAAAATGGTGTCTGGAAAAATCATGAGGTACACTAAGTGACTTCTGAGTTTAAAAGAAAAAGTTAAATTATTCTGAATATCACTGTAGAGTAAAATTAATTATATTGTAATTTTTAAAGAGTTAAGCAGTTTTCAACTAAAATATCTTATCTTTTAACTGTGCCAAATAACAATGTTTACTATATTTAGACTACAAATAGCCAACAGATAATACAATTGCATGAAAATAAAAACCTCAATAATAAGAAACTGGGGTCATCTTTAAATTCATTATTTTCCTAAAAAACCTAAAGTTATACTGAGTGATAACAAAGGCTTTATTTTCAGTTTATAGTTAGATTTCATCAAAACTCTTTTAAAACTATGGCTTAATTAGGATGGTATCCTACAAATAAAGCAAAACAGTGTTCCCAGAAAAGTCAGGAACTAAACAAGGATACCCATTATCATCATTATTATTTATCATGGCTCTCAAATTTCTGGCCAAGCAAAAAGAGATGGGGGAGGGGAAAGAAAGAAATGGAAAAGATATCTAGTAAAATGGAAGAGTTATCTAGCAAAAAGGAAGAAGCAATTTTCATTATTAACAAATGATATGAAGAAACCATCAAGAAGAAAAATAGCAAAATAACAATAATAATCTTAGAGAAGATTTTCCTAATTATGACACAAAACTCAAAAAGGTATTAAAGAAAATATTAATAAGAATGAATACACAGAGTAAAAAATTTCTGCATGACAAAACCTAACATTTATAAAGTCAAAAGACAACCAATAGGATAAGAATTGTAATTTATTTCACAAAGAATTTATTTTCCTAAAACAAAGGGGTCTCGGCCAAATAAAATAACTCAGTCAATAGAAAAACATGCAAAGGATATGAACAAACAGTTCAGAAGAGGAAATGTAAGTGGTTCTTAAACATGAAAAGACACTCAACCTCACTCATAATAAGAGAAAGTCAGACAGAAAACTAGAGTGAGATAACATTTGTTTCTATCAGATTAGTGAAGACCAAAACATATGATACACACTATGTTGGAGAAAGTATAGAAGAAAGAAGGGTGACTAACCATCCCAATTTACCCTAGACTGAGGGGTTTCCAAAGACATGGGGCTTTTCAACATTTAAACCAGGACAAACCCAAGCAAACCTCAATGGTTGGTTAGTTACCCTAGCCCAGAAAAGGCACTTACATACACAACCAGTAGAATTGTAAATTGGTTAACCTCTATGGAGGGCAATTTAACAGACTTATCAAGGATATAAAATGTACACACCTTTTGACCTAGCAATTCCCCTTCTCAGAGTTACCCTACAGATACTCACACACATGCAAAATGACATTACATGATCAATCACTGAAGCACTGTTTTTAACATCCAATTAGAAATCACCTAAAAGTCCAGTAAAATAGTTAAATTATGGTAAATCCATACAAAAAAAGTGAAAACTGTTTAAGTACTAATATGGAATGATCTCCAAGGTAAATTTTAAGAGAAAAAAGGAAAGGTGCTGAGCAATGTTTATAGAATATTACTATTTGTGAAGAAAAGGAGAAATCAAAGAATATTTATTTGAATTTGCTAGTATATGCATATACTGGAAACTGATGATATTCGTTGCCTCTGGGAGGGAAACTGGCTAGCTAGGAGACAATATATTTCATAGTATCCCCTTTTGTATATCTTGGATTTCAAATCATATGAATATATTACCTATTAAAAATAATTAAAATTTGAAAATAAAAAAATAGTAAGTGAAAAGCATGAAGTGGTAAAGAAAAGATTTTTAAAAGGCAAATGACTAGTTTGGGACTTGCCTTGTCAGGTATTAAAATACATAAAGTTATATAACTTAAAAGAATATTGTACTGATAAAAAAATAGATCCACAGAGTAAGGGAATAAAACAAATAGTCTAAAAATAGATCTCCAGACACATAAAAACAACATATGACAATGGGAAATTACACATCAGTTGTAGATAGATTTATTATTTTAAAAAGCCACTGGAAATTTCCTATTTGTAGGACAAAAATAAATTTCAATCTTCACCTATTACTATACACCAAAATAAGTATCTGCAGAATTAAAAAACTATTTGATCTCTGAACGGGAAAGGAATTTTCTGAACATAAAAGCAATAGGAGAAATTATAAGGGAAAAGTGATTAACGATGTAAAAATTTAAAACATATCTCTAAGAAATATAAGCCAGACAACAAACTGAGGATATAATGTGACAAAAAAGATAATATAGCTATTATATAAAGATATCAGACAAGTTGATAAGAAAAACAGTTAAGACTCCCCAAAGAAAATGGAAAAAGGGTAAAAACAAACCACAGAAAAAGAAATGTAAAATGCTAATAAACAAGTTAAAAAGATTCAAATCTATTACTAACCAAAGAAAAATGCAAATTAAAACAAGATGCCATTTTTCATCTATTAAATTAGCACAAGACTTCTTACTAATACTCAATATACTGATGAGGATGTGGTGAGACCAACACTGTGTACTTCTGTGGGAAGCAACTAACAATAGGCCTCATGGTCTTTAAAAACATTCATATCTCAATACTGTAAATTCCATATCTGAGAATTTACATTAAGAAAATTATCTAAAAAGTAGAGAAAGATTTATTTTTAAAAAGATGTTTATGAAGGTGCCACAAGAGTAACAAGTTATAAATAATTTTTTTTAATTTTAAAGGAAGGTGGTTAAACAGACAATAAGACGAAATATCATATACAGCTATTACGAATCACAGTATCAAATAAGGTTTTTCAAAATAAAGAACTACCTGTACAATGCTAAAATCAACTCTACTTAATGTGTGTATCTGTATAATACTAGCAAGAAATGTATTAATGTTGATGGTGGATTTCTGAGTGGTGAGTTTGCTTATAATTTAAATTTTCTTTATTCTTTTCTGTATTTTCTGTTTTGACAAATTACATGCATTATACTTATGATAAAATAATTAAGAACAAGAAAAATAAACAAAGATTCATGCCATTTTCAGAAGATTTTGGAACATATGGGGAAAGTAAATGGCATACTGATTAAAAGTTTGGACTCTAGATCAGCCAGAATTGGTTTCAAATGAGCTTCACTATTTATATTAGATGAATTATTTAGGTCTCTAAAACTATTTCCTCAACTGTAAAATAAGGCAAATAGTATTTACCTATCTTATAAGGTTGTGAGAATCAAATGAAATATTGTGAACTGCTTAGCTCACAAGTGTCCTGTATTTGGCAAGTGTTCAATAACTAGTTCACCACTTAGTGCTCAATATCACTGGTAGGTAGCATGCCAACAAAATAAACCTCATGAGTAGGTTCAAAGTGTATTTTATCTATGTTCACTCTGCACCCTCTGGTGGTTCCGTAAGGAAAAAGGCTCTAGGTAGACACCTACCTTTGTCTATTTTTATTATTATTATTGTCTATTTTGTTGTTATTGGAAAGTATTGGGCATATTTTCCCTAGAGTTGTAAGCCCTCTTCGTATATTAAGGAAACTAGCCTATCTGAAATGCTTTTTCAAGTATATACTTTCTTTTGATTTTGTTTATGGTATTTTTAATGCCATGTACAAGTTTAAAATATTTTTGGTAGTCATATTATCAACCTTTCCCCTATGGTTTCCGCTTTTTGTAGGACAACCATTTCTTGAAAAAAAAACTTATATATCTGATGTCTTTCCTAGTTAAGTGAATCACTGGGAGTTACTTTTTCATTTTTATTTTTCATTCTTTTGTTATACCGTCACTTGATAACCATTCTCTCCTCTACCAATTGCTTAAGAATATCTTCATGGTCTCACCTCTTCTATTTTCATTTTTCCTCCTTTCCTTATCAGTTTCTTATCTCAAAAAGCATAATAAGTTCAAAGGAGCGCTATACATAGAAATCTCAAAGACCTATAATATGGATACTGAATCTTAGGTGGTAGAATATCTACAAGTCACAGAACCATGAAGCAATAGTTTACTAAACTTAAAATAATTAAATATATAACTTTGTTAAATCAGATAACAACTTATATCAAATTATAACAAACCAGACAGAATGTACCAAAGTGTGTAAGAAAAAATTATGCGAGAAAAACTTAAAATTGAAAAAACTATATAAATTAAACTCATTAATTTTTATATTGAAGAAAGATCATTTTTATTTCATCAGCTAAGTACCAGACTTTCGAATAGCTAATGTTCCCTATAAACATTTGAAAACCACTGAACTGGAAAATATGGAATGGACCAGGTAATGAATAAGCCTGCAACAAAGGCAGCTCTTATAGATTGGTTCTAACATAATGCCAAGTCCATGTTTGTTTTTTTAAATTTAATTTTAATTTCTTAAACCAAAGTAGCCACATTACAAACAACTGGGAAAGAAAAGGGGGAAATCACCCAGAATTTCCAATCCTAATAAAATTACTGCTAATATTTAGTTTATTTCCTTATTATTAAATACATATTCTAAAAATAATGTAACAGTGATCACAATATACATAAAATTCTTGTTTCAGTTTTTCAAGGATAGCATAGCATAATAGTTAAATGCATGGGCTATGGAATTAGACTGACTCAGTTCAAATCCTGCTTTTCCCCACTCAATTATTAAGTTTGTATGACTTCGGGGAAATTAGTTAATCTATCTAATCCTAGATCTCTTTTTCTGTAAAATGGCAATGGTGATAATGATATCAGTCTCACAAGATGACTGTGAAAATTAAATGAGATAAACACACAGTGTTCAAAGATGTCTATACTGAATTGAATATTGATGAAGTATATAAATTCAATACCTTTTGGATAATTCTTTTTTGTTATCTGTTGTTAGTTCACTGCTTTCCCTAAGGGCGTTTATTTCATTTGGTGTTACTCCATCATGCTGTGGATAGAAAAAGAAATCACACTTTAAAAAACAAGCACACCAATGATCCAATTAATGCTGGTTTTGAAAAAGCAAAAAATTAATTGGTAATATACATCAAGAATCACAAAAATATTTATACACTTAAGTCCATTCCATTTAGTTTGGTGGGAAAAACTTAAAAATTTTGTACACACACAGAATAAAAATATTATCTATTTTAGAGATAAATAAACAAACCAGGATTTTAAAAATATCGGCTATGGTTGTATTACATAGTGAAATTGACTGATTTTATTCTTTCTTTTCTTAATTGAACTACAGTTGATTTACAATGTTGCAGTAGTGTCAGTGTATAACAAAGTTATCCAGTTATGTACAAACATATATATATTATTTTTCATATTCTTTTCCATTATAGGTGACTATAAGATCCTAAATATAGTTCCCTGTGCCATATAGTAGGTCCTTATTGTATTCTCTTAATTTTTGAAAACTTGCCCAATGTGGTCATATCACTTTTTAGTTTAAAAAATATAAGGAAACCCGAAATAGTGTTAATTTAAACTTTCTTAAAATCCTTGACTTGAAAATTCTTAGGTTTCCTGCGTGTTAGAAATCAAAAATATGGAGAAAGCTGAACAAATTATGTTTCCTCTTCAAAATCAAAGTGGAGTATTTAGCTATGGAGTTACAAAAGAACTAAGTGTATATTAAGCTTGTCCAAAGGATTATGTGAAAGTGACTCAGATACTGGTACCTATCACATAATATATTTACTTAATACGCCATTAGGAAATTTCTATGTTTAGGTCGTAATAATTTAGGTCATTCCAAATAATAATAATGTTCCCCAAACTACTCTCCAGATTTACACATTATTGTCATTGAATGAAGTACTTTCTATACATATATTCTATGATTACATTATTATAATTCATTAATATTCAATATCAATCAATATTTGAAAGAACAAAATCCTTTATCATATAATCATACAATTTCTAGAGTTAATAGTCAATACAGGTATGCTCTACTAATTTTTTAGTAGAAAAAACATTGGATTGGGTTGGAGCTGAGAAAATTTGGTTCCATTTTGCTAATATCTGGCTGTGTGCAATAAGTTAGATCTTTACCTTCTTACCTGAGTTTTCTCATTTCTAAAATAGAATGATTAAATTAATTATCTTTAAGGGCCTTTTGGTATACTCAATAATTATTGTCAAATAATAACCATTCTATCACCACTCATGTCCCTGGAAACACTGTGACAAGTCAAGATTAGGTATTTGATCCTTAATACAACATAGCAAAAGATACTAAAAGAACTATTATTTTCAGATGATGACACTTGAGGAAGAAAAAAACAATTAAAGGAATATAAAATGTATAAATTAATTGCTTGGCTTCACACATATTATAAACATTTTTCTAACTTTTTATTTTGAAAAATTTCAAGCTTATCAAAAAGTTAAAGGATAATACAATGAGTACTCTGTATCTTTTGCCTAGATTCACAAGTTGTTAACATTTTTGCCACCCTTCATGCCCTCTGCCTCTCATTTTTTATTTTTGTTAGACCATTTGAAAATATCTGTGGATATTAATGACATTTCACTCCTTAATCTTTAGCATGCATTTTCTAAAAAAAACCCCAAAACATTCTTTTACGTTTATAATACCACTATCACAATTAAGAAAATTAACACTAATTCAATATCACCTAATATACAGTTCATATTTGAATTTTTCCAACTGTTCTCAAAATTCTTTTTTATTCTTTTAAATTAAAAAAAATCCAGCATCCAATCAAAGTTCATACATCACATTTGGTTGTTATGTCTCAATCTAGAATAGTTTTCTTGCTTTTTTTAGTTTTTTATGACATTGTTTTAAAGAGTCTAAGACAGTTGTTCCATGACATGTTCCATAATCTGGAATTGTTTGAGTATTTACTCATAATTAAGTTCAGCATTTTGAACAAGAACACTATAAGAGAATACTGTGTACTTTTTATTATATCACATCAAGCTGAACATAATGAGAAGTTATTCCAATATTGGTGATGCCAAATTTGATGTTACTTAAGACAGTGTCTGCCAGATTGTTTTATTGTAAAGGTATATTGCTCTCCTTTGTAATTAATGAGTAATCTGTGGGGTGATAGTTTTAGATCATAGTTTTAACATCCCCATTAATGATCCTTGCCTAAACCAATTATTTTATTGGGGGCGGCAAAATGAGAATTTTCTATTGTATCATCCTTTCTAAATTTATTAGCTTTTCTTCTGAAAGGAAATTTTCCCTTATCTCATCTTTTCTACATTTATTAGCTCTTCTTCTGAAAGGAAATTTTCCCTTATCCCATCTTTTCTTTCCTTCCTTTCCTCCTTCCATCACATCTTCCTTCCTGCCCTCCATCCTTTTCTCTTTTCCATGTTTCTTCCTCCCTTCCTTCCTCTGTTCTTCCTTTTTTTCTTTCTTTATGCTTTTGGAATATCCCTTACAGAATCAGGACTTTCAAAATTTTAATGTATTATAATCCATTACTGGCATTATTCTTTTTTTCCCAACAGCTAGTAATTTATTCCTTTTGTTTAGGTTTAAAAAAACATAGATTTTTGTTTTTTAAGCTATTTTTATTGTGAACCATCTATAGTAAGTTCTGTACATACACTCTCATCTCATTGCCATCATTCTTTTTGATGCTAAAATTATCCCTTTTGGCTGTGCATAAAGATTTTGAAGTAAGTCAAAAGAATAGGCAAATTTGAGGCAGGATGGCAAAAGCCAAAAATTTTTCAGTATTGCAAACATTTATTAAGGGGTATTATTCATAACGTTTAACAAATGGCACAACACAGGAATTAATCAGAATCTACACTGGCAGTAAAGAACTAGTAAATACTGAGTATCTATTAGTCCCTTAATATTACTGAGAGAAGGAAATTTTCAAATTTTTAATGTGAATAATTGTACTTATTCAAAAATATCTCAATTTTACTTGTACTAGGATAAAAACAAGGTCAAACTAGATAATGTTCAATAAAAGCACGTCCTTTAAATCCCTTTGAATCATTGGTGCTAACGTGTAACAAGTACACATTTTTAAGATTACATTGCTTTCAAAATTTTTTAAAACTGTAGATTCTAATTGAGTACCTTAATTTACTTACCTTTTCCATCAGAAAATGTTGGCCTTGTTCCCAAATAAAACTACCAATTTTTCTTCTTATTTCTGTAATAAAAACAAATCCAGTACTATTTTTTTGAAGTAACTTTGTAGAATTTTCTAATTGCTTGAGGCTTGAAATCTCTAGGTCAGCATTATTTCACTTGAATCAAAATTACCTGAAATACTTGTTTAAAATGCAGATTCTTACTGAACTAGATCATTGAGGAGAAGCTCAGGAACTTGCATTTCTAACAAACTCTCCAGATAATTCCAATGCATTATGAGAACCATTGTTGCAAACTTTTTCTGCTATAATATATATATCTCCATCAGATGTCAGTGTTTTTAGGCCCAGCATTAATAAAGAAGATAATTTTATAGTCAAAATGAAAGGTATAAAATCCCCAAATTTGTAGAGCAGAGATCCTTAAGAATTCAATAACTTACTTTGCTAAAAGAAGGTTGGATGACCAACATGTCTAGTGTGCATAGTAGTGCTGGAATTCTACAATGCTCAGCATGACAAAGGACTATGTGGTCATCTTAAATCAATTATCTCAATAGTTTACAGTAGTCCACTCAAGGACAAAGAGTCAACATTCCTTTAGACCTAAACTGTCCAATACAGTACCCACTAGAGTAGGCACATGTGGGTACCATACTGAAATATGTGGCTGGGCCAAATTGAGATGTGCTGTGTTTAAAATAAACCCTAGATTTCAAATTTAGTATCAAAAAGAGAATGTAAAATATTTCAATAATTTTTATACTGATTTTATATTAAAATATTTTATATATGTCAGGTTAAATAAAGTATATTTTAAAAATTATTTTCATCTATTTCTTTTTATTATTTTTAATGTAGCTACTAGAAAATTTAAAATTAGTATATGGCTTACAGTTGCCCCTCACACTTCTACTAGACAATTCTGGCCTAGATAGATAATTATACCTTTTATTTTTTAAAAGGAGCATGTTTTCATTTAAAACAGATTTAAAATTTTAAATACATTTTAATGTAAGATGCTAAACTCAAAGAGTTAATAGAAGTGATAACTTAAAATCAGATCAGATAGTCATTCCACAATATAAGCTCCCTGAAGATGGGTATTCATTAGTTCAGTTTTTGAGTAAATCAATTCTATCCAGTCATTTATTTGCATAATCACTTAGAACAATTTATTGTTGTAAGTTATAACTAGGTCTCGGCAGGACATCAACTATGGAAGGAACCCAATCTTTGGGGTTTCTAAAGCTCTTCTATAGAAATATTTTCCAATTTTTTTTTAATACTCTGCTCACTGGGAATTTGTACTATCTTCAATCTGTCTTACTAGAGATGGACACATACCCACCAAGAAACACATAAAAACCATCAACGGATGACTGGATAAACAAGATGTGGTATATTTATACAATGCAAATCAAAACTACAATGAGGTATCACCTCACACCAGTCAGAATGGCCGTCATTCAAAAGTCCAAAAATGACAAATGCTGGAGAGGCTGTGGAGAAAAGGCAACCCTCCTACACTGCTGGTGGGAATGCAGTTTGGTGCAGCCACTGTGGGAAACAGTATGGAGATTCCTCAAAAGACTAGGAATAGACTTACCATGTGACCCAGGAATCCCGCTCCTGGGCTTATATCCAGAAGGAACCCTACTTCAGGATGACACCTGCACCCCAATGTTCATAGCAGCACTATTTACAATAGCCAAGACATGGAAACAGCCTAAATGTCCATCAACATATGACTGGATAAAGAAGATGTGATATATTTATACAATGAAATACTACTCAGCCATAAAAACCGACAACATAATGCCATTTGCAGCAACATGGATGCTCCTGGAGAATATCATTCTAAGTGAAGTAAGCCAGAAAGAGAAAGAAAAATACCATATGAGATCGCTCATATGTGGAATCTAAACAAACAAACAAAGCATAAATACAAAACAGAAACAGACTCATAGACATAGAATACAAACTTGTGGTTACCAAGGGGGCGGAGGGTGGGAAGGGATAGATGGGATTTCAAAATTGTAGAATAGATAAACAAGATTATACTGTATAGCACAGGGAAATATATACAAGATCTTATTGTAGCTCACAGAGAAAAAAATGTGACAATGAATATATATATGTTCATGTATAACTGAAAAATTGTGCTCTACACTGGAATTTGACACAACATTGTAAAATGATTATAAATCAATAAAA